TCGGCAAGTCGATTTCGAATCTTCTTATGATGATCGTACATGACGAAAGTGCTGTAAATACCGAGTAAAACGGATGTGCTCTTAAGATGGTTTTGAGCAAGTGTAGTTGGTAGCGGGGGGCGCCTACTACTACTGCTGCTACTACTACTACTACTACTACGACTACTACTACTATTCCTCCTACTACTACTTCTTCTATTGCTACAAGTGCCATGACCAGCACAACCACGGCTTCTGCAGCTGCGGGTGCTGTGGTTTCTCTGTCAGCGCTGTCGGTGCTCTCACCACTGAAGTATGCTTGTTCCTCAGCCAGTCGCGGATGCAAACACCTTGCTCTGCAACACCATGCGATATGCGGCCTGAATCCTGGCAACTCCATTTTATAAACCCGGCAAACCTCCCCATCTAGCACCTGCAAGAGCGGATCGGTGACTATGCCGGTGGCAGCCTCGGCAGAAGTTGTAGCATGTTTTCAGTGGAAGCCCGGATCCTAAACCCGCCCACGCTCACCTCAGTTTAGAGTGGCTCTCTGTGCAGCACGCAGCACAAACTCGTTCTTTCGGAGTCCACTCAAAAACGTTTGACGGAGGCGGGGGCATCACAGAACTGAAGGCTGCAAAACCCAGCGATGATGCCATTAAACTCAACCGTGCAACCGCCAAACCCTCGATGGAAAAAAAGAGTAAACGACCAGGCAGCCCAGCCTCCGGAATCCCGAATCCGCCAACTGCCGGCGCAGTCTCAACAGCCTTACAGGGTTGAGGGAGTAGGGCTCGGATTTTGGGATAGGTTCATGCATGGACTTTCTAGTCTCCCAAGAGAAGAGGCTAAGCTGTCTATACTCCCAACTCCTTAGACAACCGTCGAAATCTCTCACGGGCGATTGGAAATTGGGTTGCGATCGCACTTTTGGGAAATACATACAAGGCTGTGGATTTGACTGGAGGCGTCTGGCCATTCCACGTGACGGCTATTTTTTGGTCGGCTCTCTGCCTCTCGCTCTCCTCGCCCCGTCCCCGTCTCCCTGGGTCCTCTGCCTTGGCGTGAGCTATCGCACGCCAGCCACGCGACGCCTGGAGAGCGGCGAACCCGAAAGCTGCGCACTGATGTATGGGTCTGGAATTCTGTCTGCAGAGTCCCCCCTAGATAATTTGAAATCGTTTACGTGTGTTGTAGGGTCGATAGGGTTAGGATCGAAGGCAAAAAACAAACCCCGCACATGCAGACGAACTCACAGAACATTCCTTTTGGCTGGGCCCACAAGGAAGCTTGTAAACCTGCAGCCCTCAAATGCCCAGGCCCGTTCTATCCGGACTCGAGAAGCCTCGATCATGCTACTTTGGCGTGACGTTGACAAGTGATTGGCAAGCCTGAAATTTCCCGGATTACGAACCCAACCTTCAGACACTTTCTTCTCAAACGATTGGGACTACGGCTTATCTTTTTGACCCAAAGTCCAGGCGACAAAGATGCCTACGCTCAAGCCCATCTACTGAAAGCGAATCCAGGTTTTGGTGTTCAGTGCGCTTGTCCTCTGCGGCTAGTCAGTGCATGGTCTGGGGCTTTGGGTCTGCATATGCAGCTTCGAAGTAGGCGGCTCTACAACATGTTTTGAGGTGTCCGAAAGTCCGAAAATGTAGGACGCAGAGCTTCGATTTGGGGATTTGGGCTTGATGGCGCGTATACTGTGTAGGAGTTTCAAGCTAGCCTCACGAAAGTTCATGCTGAGGGTCTGGGGTCTCGGCTTGAAACGCTTGTGTGGGTTTCAAACCCCCAAAGTACAACTCCCTGAACCTATAACTCTGAATCTTAAGCTGACGAGACCAACCGTCTGTAGTGCCTTACCAACTCCTACAAACGCATCGGAATCCTACAGCCCATCTTTACCAAATTTCAGGGCATTGCAAATAAACAAAACATGGAAATGCCAATGCCAAGGCCTGCCCGACGGCTCGTAGACGAGCTCTTGCAGTGGTCGGCACTAGCACCTTCGCTTGTCCCAGTGGCACAAGAGTCTGCCGCAAACGTATACGCAAATCCAGAGTCCGGGATCTTGAGCAGTGGCGACGGCATTGTATGAACTGATCTCAAAGCCCAACACCCTTTAGTCCAAATTCCTGACCAGCCCTGTCAATCGACCAAGGACTCTTCAATTGTGCACGGCATCGGGCTCACTTCGGGCTCCAGGTCTTGACAGGCCCCCGCCAAGCAGGCCTGTCTGCACGATGTCACGCATAGCCATGGCGACAGCATCTCGAGAGTGTGCTGGGACGACTCTAGTGAAAGCCGCAATGTTTCATTGCATAGATTGGGGGGTCTCAACCCCGAACCTCCAAAGCATAGAACCGCCCTCCTGAAGGTTTTCTGGGGGTTGTTGGAGGGAGTGTGTCCCGAAATATGCCTTGGGCATCGAGTGACTGACGGGCAAAGCATGCAGCAAGCTCGCCTGAACGAAGCTCGCAAGCTGCGGTCGAATCGGAGCGAAACGACAACGACAGCAAAATGCTAGGAATGTGAATAACCAACATAATAGCAAGGCCTGTGTTAAACTGCTTGTGGCCAGAAGAGCAAAAACACACCACACATAAGCGGAGCTTCATGTACCATGTGCCATGCGAAAGTCAGCATGTAGCAGAAACCGCCAATGCCGGGGCTCAGACCGACACTGGCGTGATGTTGGTTCTCTTCGGCAGAACAGTGTGCTGGAAATTGCGAGGTCTACCAGAACACAGTGCCAAGGTTGTATCCATGACGTGCTACACAACGTTCAGCAGGGTCTCACCCGCTGGCAAGAAGGGCTCGGTTCAGCTCGAAGCCCTGCACCCTAGACCCGAAAGCCTGCCGTGTAGGGCTCAGGGACAACAATCATTTCTGCAGGGCTACCTCGAGGCCGCAGCCGCAAGGCTTGCGGTCCAAAACTTATCGGTGATTGCTATGCACATAAAAAAGCATGCTCAGGTAGGTGTAGCAGTCTGGGGTTTGACACTTGGGCGTGCATCCGGGGTGGAGCAGAATCTTCCCAAGAAGCGATAAAGGATCGCATGGCTGGGTGGTTGGGATTTTGTTGTTTAATGCAAGGTCTGAGGTGAAACACCAGCCAGAACATGCAATCAAAGTATCGGCAGGGTTTGTCGGAAGTGGGAGTCGGAAGGGAAACAGGTATGTGCCCATGCAGTCACCGGTTGACGCTTTTTTCTACTTTGGCAGGACTACTTTCCTCTGCGTGGTAGGTGAAACATAGTAGCACGTTCCACCTTTGTCTTGGAAAACTGGCACACGCTTCTGGCCTTAGTGAGCCAAGAGAGCCATGGAGCTAATATGCATAAATACATATAGAGATATGTTCAATGCCCGTTGCACGGACGGTTAGTTTTGACGACTTTCGTGGTAGTTCACGGAGCAGCTGTTCGTTCCAGCGCACGGTCTCTTCGGGGTTTTGCCACACTTTCTGACTGCAAGCCCTAGCGGGTGTTGGCTGCCCCTTTTGCTTTCCTTGTTTTGTTGAGGGGTTGCAGGTCCTGGGAGACGACTTGTTCGATCTTCTTTGATCGGTCGGCTACATCTCTTAGACTCGTCCTCTCCTCAAGCTGTGTGAGTGCATACTGGCCGCAATCGACGTGTAAATCGCATCTTGTTGCTGCGGGCCAGATTTCTGCGCCAGCCGCCAAGCCTGAATTTAATGCATGATTTTTGGGACGCGCTTCCCCGTGCCGCACAATGCAGCCTGAAGCACGACGCTCCGTGTCCAAAGTCCAAAAGTTCAGTGTATATATATATATATATGTGTATGTATATGTTATATAGTTATATGTATATATATATATATATTCATTTGACTCCTCTATGTCTGTGTCCCCGTGATTGGTTTCTGAGTTCGTTTGGTCAGGGACTGCAATCCAGTTTGTCCTCCACGCCTGGGTGCCCCATGACAAATATTATCCCCTACGAGTTGCGCACATTAGATCAGCCGTGATGATGCCACGAACACGAAAATCCGCAAGCAGTTCTGCACAGGTTGTCCGTCTCAGTAGCCCGTGATAAACTTCCCTCGCTAAGAGATTAGATTGAATCCTTCATTTCTCCAGCGCGATGAGCAGCAACAGCCCTGGAAGTCCTGGCCTTATCACTGCCTAGTAAAACTGGCACATTCCGTGAAGGGATCCGAACCATAGGAGGTTCAAGCTTGGTGGGTGAAGTTCGGAAATCCCGAACTATCCACACCGAAACCCTTAAACTACACAAACAGGTAAACTCAGTAGAACGGATTTGGACCAACTCCCGCTCGCTGAGAATGCCGCCGTTCAAGGTTGCAATGGAGCGGTGTGTTACGACCTTGTCCCCGTTCGTGCTAGGACCGCCGCCTTCAGCCAAGGGCCGAGGTGGTCCGTCCCAAGGAACCCACTTAGCAAAACGCCGCAGTTGACGGAAAGCCCGACTGCGTTCTCGCAGCACCTGTTTGTTCAAGCTACCAAGCACCTCAGTCAATCAAACGGAGACGGAAGGACCCCTACATCTACTCAAACCAGCAGGTGAGCCCCGCAGCCCCGAAGCTCCCAGCAGAAGACCTGTTATGTAAACACGAGGTAGATACTATTACCGTTGCATGCAGATGAATCAAGGGTGCATAGACTGCTTCCCGTGCATATCTGATGAACGTCCATGTCGTTGGACTCATCTTCTGTAGTAGCGGAGTCGGTCTTGCAGGTTGTGTTTCAACAGGCTTCTGCACACAAGCCGCCATCATCTGCCGATGTCTATAGTAGTCAGTTAAATGAACCTATCAACCAAGGACTTATGTCTGAAATGTTGCCATCGGCCATTCATCATCAAACACACTCAAGTGCACTCACTGACACAGTGCCATTCATCCTACAGATATCAAGAGACCTCTGAAGCAATTCTGCACAGCCCTGTTCGACCGACATGAAAAAAGTAATCATGTATCACACTTCACGATGCAATCAAACCTTGCACCGCAGACCGCATTTCAGCCCAAGCACGCGCCGGTCTCGTCCGCTTCTGTTGCCCGAAGGTGTCTTTATCTTTGCCATTCTTGGTTCCTAGGCTGGAGGTAGCAGGCAAGCAGTCGTTTTGTGCAAAGGGGTATTCTGCTAGAGGCAAAAATCTTCTCAGCATGCGGGTGCTGCAGACTGGGTCACGTGATCCCACATCCAAGCTCCATGGCTCAGACCAAAGGGTCCCAAAGAGATTATTTGAGAGCCTTCACACCTCTCGGCTCGCTTGGAAGGAGCACTCACAAGGTCAAGCTGCTCTTCAGGAATGCATCCCACTCCATCACAGACTCGTCCTGGCGCTCTTGCAGTTTCTGCTTCTTCCGCAGTCGCTCTTCCCGTCGCATCCGCGGATTTTGTGCCCGGACAGTCTTCGGTGGCTCCTGTGATGACTCAAGGAGAAGGGAGGCCAGGGCAGGTATCCTATCCCCAGCCAAGCTTATATACATCTAAACGGAAATGAGTGCCGTGTTGTCGTGCATAGCGCAACTTCTGAATCCGCCAGTGCACGTGGGGGGCGTTTCAACATGTGGCGGTGGTCCCGAATCCCACGGACAAATGAAGGGGAAGTATCGTGGTCGTGTCTCTCTGTATCCGACCAGTAAATGGGGAGAAGCTTTTTGACCGGAGCCCTGATATGTTCTGGTCGTCTCGGTGTCCTGGTGGTCTTTTGGCGGTCTCCGGGTGGTCTCTTTGGTGGTCACCCCGTGGTTTGCCGGTGGTCTCCTGGTGGTCGTGTTCTCATCGTCGTAGTCGTCGTCGTGGTCGTCTTCG